TTCCACACACTATTGCATTAACCGTTAGTAAAAAATCACATGTAATTTTGTACATGTTTGACCGTTTTTATGTTCTTTTCTTTGATTAACATTCTCACGAGAACCTCTCTTTTTGTTTCAAAACGATCAAATATATTGCAGATCAATCATTTCATTTTTTTTCTGTATTTTCTTGTTGTATAGCGCAGAAAGATGAGTTACATCATTGAGTTTACTCAACTAATAACTGTATTAATTTTTTATTTGTGTAAAAATTCGATCACCGTTCACCTCAACTGACCTCACACAAAATCCACCTTCAACGACGGTACGACACCAATGTAAAAGTACATTCTTTCACTCACTCAATGGCTAATTAAACCCAGGACTGGTTTTGTATTTAGATAAAATCACTTCACCCGTTTGCCAAATTGAGCTGCATATCAGTAATATTTTGATTTTATATTATCAGTTTTCAGTAAGATTTTACATACGAAATATATAAAGTTATCTTTATTTTATTGTAGCATGGACTTTTTAAGGTGTCATGGATAAGTTTTTGTTGTAATGTGTTTGAGAAAAAAGTAACATAAATTTTTGATTCTTGATTGTTTAAAGTGAGATGAAGAAAAAGAAACACTTTAATTTGTTAAAAGAATATTTACATAGAAAAATTAAAAAATTTAAAACAATTATATTAAATTAAATCAGATTCTTTATTTTAAAGGTTACAACATTGATTATATTATTAAAATATATGATATATTTTAATAAAACATTAGAGTAAACAAACTTGGTTTCTTGTGGTTTGTCAAAAAGAATAGTACTATTCATTCCTGCAGTTTTGAAATTACGATATAACCATCATGGTATGTAAAAACATCTGGATTTGATTACTCTCTCCAGTGACCACTAAAAAAATTTGTTAAGTCGATCTTTTTGTCTTTTACCCAATCAAAAACCATAATGGCCAAAATCTTAAAATCGATCTTAATTGAGTAACAGGAAAAAAAAATGGATAAAAAGACAAAATGCATATCAATTCTTTAGTGACCATTAAATGGAGTAACCAAATCTGGACGTTTTATAAACTATGATAATTATTATGTAATTTAAAACCGCAAGGATGAAAATTATTATTTTCAGTAAACCACATGAACCAAATTGGTCAAACAAAATAGAGGGGGGAGGCCCCTCCTATCAAGAGAAAAAAAAAACCAAAAACACTAAGGACAAATTTCGCGCTCGGGTGGGGACGAACCATATATCCGTATTTTTAATAATTATATCAATTTACCATTGACAGTGACGGAACACATAAGTAAGACACATCTCAATGTTATAGAGGTTCTATTATGGAGCATTGGTCATCGAGTTCAACCACTCATGGTCTATATTTCGAATCCTCCGATGTTTAAGAAATACTCTGTGGCTAGAATTAGATCTTTACGGGACACTCGGTCATCAAATTCAACCACCCACGGATTATAGCTTGAATCCTCCAGTGATATAAAACCCATATCTAGCTATCAAATGGGATATCCCACATTTCATATAAATATCGACTTCAATGCCTATGGATACATTGCATTCTAGTATAAGATATGTAACCTTCCAAATACGTCATCCGTTATCCAACATATCATCATTTGTATACGAAAACCATCAAGTGAATAAGATCACACTTTATCAAATAAATCAATTATATGAACATCTCATGTTTCAGTTCAAAAGCTTATCAAACAGTGAAATAATCACCCCCAAAGCATATAAAACCATTTCCTAGATGCAATCAGCGACCCTAGGATCATGGCTCCAGGGTCGCCCGCTACCACTCTACTTAGGGTACCTAACACGCGACGGTGGCCTTAAGGTGTAAGGGTCGCATACCACCACGGTCGCAGATCCTCAAATTCCCCACTTACGGTGCATAAAGTGCGAGCTTGCTATGCGATGCAAGGGTCGCGACACTAGGTCGCATAACACTAACTGAAGTTTGAAGTAGAGATTTTGAAGTATATCTCAATAAGATATTGTTTAAAAAAACTTCCAAAACACATTTTGTTATATGATAAAGAAAAATTAAAAATTTGGGACATATTTGAACCAAAGGCCCGTCCTGGGACCGGTTCTAGACCTGGCTCTGTACATGGAGAACGAACCAAGTGTTTTTAGTTAGCATCGACTACGATGAAACCTGTTACAAGAGGGCAATCTTGGACCAAGATCGACTTGAACCCGTATCGTCCTATACGAGACCGAATTTAGCGATCTATAAGACCACCCGTGCATGTTCACCTTGATGATATTGGACCGTTTTGCAATTTAAAATGGTTTAGCCCAGAAACCTAATCCCATCTACATGGCCCAAAGATTGTTTATTGGGCCTAAAAGTCATAACCTAAGCTAGTAGTAGTGTGCATTCTCCTTTTTTAGTTCTTTTTTTAATTTGTTTATTTATTTAATTATTTACGACCGTAAATAATTTCCTAATGATTAAGTTCTTGTTATATACCTCTATCATGTCTCTAATAATGTAGTGAACGTAACACATTTGCGTCATTATAATACAATCGGATTTATATGATGTTAAAAATATGTAAGTTTTAATAGACTATTTTATAAAGCTCAAATTTATCTGACAAAACACCATAAGGTTAGTGTTTGATTAGTTTGAGAAAGTTAAAAGTACATGGAGGTCTCAGGTTTAAATTTAATAAGTAATGAAAATCTCCTTGTGGTCACGGAGGTTCAAATGCGGTGACTTCTGGCTATCCGCAAAGCAGGTGGTCTCCTTGAGATTAGTCGACTCGCATAGCGGGTTAGATATCCAGCTTAATGGAAAAAAACAATTGTACGTTATATTACAAAACTGTTGCAATTAGTTTATATGACACTTTTACTTGTTTTAACAAGTTTTTCATGACATTTTTAAAACAAAGTGGTTGAATTAGGTTTTTTACACGACAATTTTGAGAATTCTCCGTTTTTCGTTCCAAATTTTAAGTTCATAATGAATTCAGATTTGAAGCCTAATATTTTATATTCGTTGAATCAACTAACCTTAGAAGAGATTATCCCAAGTATTCGTAGAATCAACAGGCTTAATCTTTATTTTTATTGTTATACGTTATATCAGTTACTTATGAATATTAAATTCATAAAGTAAACTAAGAGGTCCGAAATAACTACTTTGAGTAATTTCCTAAAGTTATTGTTGATTTGAGGACAATGGCCATTATGTAAGTTTTGTCGATTCCAAAAGTATCATCATTCCATAAGTTGTACATCAGTGTACAAGTCAAAAAAAGGAAAGGAAATTATATATATATACATATATATATATATATATATATATATATATATATATATATGGGGTTGGGTTCACGTGAGACCAACCTATTCTCGTGAGATCCGTGAGACCACTATTTTACACTTGAACTTTCACAGCAAAAACGTTGTGAAAGTTATATACCTTCACAATGTTTTGATGTTAAGTTTCAAGTGTAAAAAAGTGGTCTCACAGGTTTCACGAAAACATGTTGGTCTAACATGAAACCAACCCTATAAATATGTGTGTTTTTGTATGTATAATAAGTGGTAATTAAACAACGTTTGCATGTGAAGAAATGGGTAAAATCCAAGCAACCAACCACTATTTCTTTTTCTTTTTGCGACAGTTTGTGTTTTGTCGCTAAACGCTTTCCAATTCACACAACCTACTTTACATGTCATTTCATATATACTCTATTATATTATACATTAAGGATGAATTTCTTTTTGTATTTTGAGAATGAAAAATAATGCAAACTTTTATTTGAAAAGAAAAATGTAATTTTTTTAGTAAAAAAATAAATATTTTAAATTTCATTGAATAAAAAAAAGCTCTCTAAAAATACATTGATAGTAATATCAAATTAAATCTTGTAAAATTCTCCTTTTTTTTAATTCAAATTTTTTAATAATTGAAATATTTAATCCATCATTAACTTTTATAAAAACAAACTTTGTTAAAAAAATTAATGCATTCAAACTTATTGATGAAAACAATAAGAATGATATATAGTTTCCTCGAAATTAAGTTTTATGATTTCTTTATATTTGAAGATTTTGTTAACTTCTTTATCTTCTTTTCTTTATTTTAATAATTTAGTGTACATTTTAACATAGTTGTGGAGTAAAAGAAAAACTGTAAAAGCTCAAAAATATATATTTTAGCATAGTTGTTGGCAAATCTTTAAGGTAGTGTTTGGTACGCAGACTGGATGGGACATGACAGGACGGGATGGTACGGGACGGGACGGGACATGACTAATTGTCTGTCCTATGTTTGGTACGACTAGAACAGGACGAGACAAAACTATTAAAATGATCATATTACCCTTAAATGTTGTTCAATGTTATTTTATATCATATAATGATTGTAAAATGACAACAAATCAATCAAAATATTGTCATTTTAACTTTAGTGCCATGTTGTTCCACTTTTTTTGGTGGAACAAGAAATATCAAGATTTGTCCCACTAAAATTAAAAATAGTCTCATATTGTCCCATGTTTTTTTTGTCCATGACATGCCAAACATGATACTATTTTTTTTGTCCCGTCCTATCCCATGTAATTTGCATACCAAACGCACCCTAAATGGTATGAGGTGTGGTGTGGCGGTGAGATCCAGTTTCAAGCCTTAGAAGACATGGTGAAGCCATCATGTTTTTAAGTCGTGATTTATGATAGCAAATTTGTATATCATATATAACTATATATATACACACACATACACAAACACATACACACACACACACATATATATATATATATATATATATATATATATATATACTACTATTACTCAATGAGTTAAACAATTTAAATTAAGTTATATATATACTATATAAAAACTTAAAGTAAGACGCAAAATTTTTAAAAAAAATCAAATATCATGTTAGAAAACTGTACATTAGATCATAATATATCATAGAGTTAACATGGTGTAAGTGCCGTAGATGCTCTTATTACATATACATATACATATGGAGAGAGATAAAGATAAAAGAGTGTCTCGTCACACTTCCTCCCTTCATTCTCCCAACGCACAATAATTAACACAGGTATTCCTCTTCCGAATTCCGTCTCCTTCCCCTCTTTCTCTCTCTCTCTCTCTCTATATATATGTATATATATATATATATATAAGTAGATACATATGATGGGTTAATGTATTATGTATATATATGTTCAATTGTTATTGTAGGTAGGTTTATAATATAAATGGGAAGGATGGGTTTGGAGAGATTGATGGTGTCGGTGAAGACGAGATTGATAAGGTCTCTAAAGATTTGGAAAGCAGGTGCAGTTGCAGGTGATCATGAAGCAGAATCATACAACAAGATTCAAAAGAGCGACAGCATGAGACTCGAAATACGAAGCAGGAAAGCACGAAAACTCATCCAACAAACCCTCAAACTCGCTGATCATTCCAAACCCTAGCTACTCTTAATTAACTTAATTTTCATCATCCATATATATATATATATATGTATTAATGTATATATATCATGTACCCAATGGTTTTAACTCATTAATTACCTCTGTATTCAAGGTCTCCATTGTTCTGAATCAAGGTTAATTTTATATATGCTAAACACACACACACACACACACATATATATATATATATATATATATATATATATTTGCAGTTCTGTTAAGAAACTAAAATTGATAAGAACTTGAAATTGTTCACGACGCGACATGTGGCATATTCATGAATATGAATGTATTATTTATCATGGAGGTTGTAACATATTAATCGTGTGATTCATGGTGAATATTCATCCCATAGAAGGACACGTGACATGTTCTGTGCTGTTTCTATGTTCCTAACGGAACTTCCCTATATATGTATTAAAGGAGGATCAAACGAGAACAAGAGTAAACATGAAAAGACCAAATCACATGCATGTTATTTTCCACTAAAATCAAATGCGACTACGAAACACATTCAGTGCAAAGAGTGTGCAGGCGACTTGTCATGCAACCTAAAATTACATGGGATTTTGCCGTTTTCATATTTTCTTATTTAGTCGCTATTTTTATTTGAACCCGACTCTCTCCCCCTTATATAACATTGGATTACATTTATCCAAAGGTTTAGACACATATGATTAGAACCGGATATTATATACATATGTATGTATGCTTATCCTTCTTTTTATCAGGAATGTGTGGAGGATATAAAGCAACTTAGAAAAAGAATTATAAAGTATTTTATTATTTCAATTTAATACATGTAGTTCATTAATATCTTTCTAATCCTTTTCACTTATTTTAAAATGATAAAATAAAATAAATAAACATGCTAGAAAACTAATCAAATAGTCTTTGTCCTAGCGGTATGTGAGTCATTGACCTCATAGAAGAAGATTAAATGTTCAAACTTTATCAAATATCAGAAGAGTGTAAGAGTTTATTTGTTTAATTTATCGTCTATAAATATTATCTATACTATATTATAAAGCATTTGATAAAAACTCTTAAAAATCATTTTTTATGTATGAAGTACTGTATATTAATGCATATTACTTAAAATTCAATATTACAAGTAAATTATGCATAAGTACAACTTATTAAAGCTCAATGTTTGAATTCGTATAACTAACCGTGGATAAACATAATCAAATAGAGGATAAACATCTCATTTTAAAATATAAAAAATCTAAAACATAATTAAGATAATTATCGAGTTCTAACATAATCATTATCTTTATAAAAAATATATTGTTAAGTCAAAAATAAATTACTTCACTATTTGATCTAAATTAAATTATAATAAAAAATGAATTAAATAAAGTATATAAAAACAATAACTTTTAAATAGTTAATTTGATATTAATATCGATATATTTCTAAAAAATTTATGATGTCTGCAAATTTATTTTTATTCAAAAGTAAAAACATTATCTTTCTCAAAACTACATAAACTGTATTATATTAACAAAAACAAAAAATAAAACGAAACATTAAAATGTATATATATATATATATATATATACATTTTAATGTTTGGAAAATACTAAAATGTTTATATATATATATACATTATATATATATATATATAGAAAGAGAGAGAGAGAGGGGTTGGTTATTATACAACCTTTCACATTTGTGCAACCAATACAACTCAATCTCAACCGTCCATTTCATTTGATTAATATGTGATTTCATAAAATTTTTGATTGTTTCCTAATATAAAGTATTGATCATAATTAATGAATCATATTCATCTTCCATAAATATTCAAATCATAATAAATGAACTCTCATAATTTCCATAAATATCTCAATTTATTGGGTTGCATTGGTTGTACAAATGCAATAGGTTGTATTTGAAACAAAATATATATATATATATATATATATATATATATATATATATAGGTGGAGGTTCAAACGAGAACCCCTGTGATTTACGAAAATGCGAGAACAACCCAATAACCTCAAACTTTTTTAATTAATAAATTAACTTTTATTATATATAAATAATTTAATAAGGACAATAATGTAATTAAGTAATTTTTATAATTTTTATTTTATTTTAATTAACCATAATTATCTTTTCACGTTCCACGCTTTACTCTTGGTAGTTATCTTCTTCTTCTCGTTAACATCTTTTCTTCATATCACACCTCTATCACATAAGTATCACACTCATATCATATGATTATCACACTCATATTATATGATTACACCAAAATTTTAACTTGTCAACCAAAACGATAACCCAAGTGATGTATAACAGTGATTATCACACCCTTATCACATGATTATCACACCCCTATCACATGATTATCACACCTATATCACATGATTATCACACCTAGTATAATCCTAACCTATTTCGTAACCGTTTTACTAGATAATGATAATAATGAGTGTTTAAAAGATAATGATCGTGTTTAAAAGATTTGATGATATCATTTTCATTATTACCCTTTTAATTTTAAATTTTTTTGAATCTTATTAAATTTAAATTTAAATTTTAAAAATCTTTTAATTTTATTTTTTATCACAATATGAGGTTATTGGGTTGTTCTTGCATTCTCGTAAATCACAGGGGTTCTCGTTTGAACCCTTCCCTATATATATATGTATATATATCTCGTTGAGTATATACTAAAAAAACATGTTTGGAAAATACTAACCAAGGTTGACCCAGGAGGCCACGACCACCAAAGGGATGAATGGGCCAAATTATATGATGATGGGCCGACTCTATGATTGAAAGATGCCAACCAATTTAATGCCAAATTATAATGATGTAATGCTCTTTAATGGTTAGAGGACAAACTAGTTATGGCAATAAATGCATTCTACTTCCTCCATCTTAACATATTTTCAAAATGAGTCGCAATTTACTAAACACTTATCGGGTAAGTGTTTATCGATATAAAACCTTTATTGCTTACTTTATTGTGCAACACTTTTGGCTATCAAAACTGGATTATTGGTAAGCATCTCCTACCCTGTAAGTACTAATCAGGTAAGAATATTTTTTCTCACTTACAGGGTAAGATTATCGGTTCTCATTATATTTTTTACTAGGTAAGATGTCTGTCCTTTTCATAGTCATCCAGTAAGACAAGTAACACCTGATCAGCATTTACCGGATAAACGTTTGATAAACAAGTCCTAATTTTGGAACAAATTAAAACGGGAATATCAGACATTTTATTTTTATGATATCAAAATGTTCGGAATCAATATGTTCCTTCCAGTTGACTTGATTGAAAATGAAGGAAATTAATAACTTGTGAATTCTGGGATTACACAGTAACACAAGTTATTTTTAGATCAGTTCTATTTATTCCCCTTCTATATAAGTGTTATGTGTGTGATAAAGGGGCATAAAACGTGAGTAGTGCAATTCATACCCCTTTTATTTTGAATTCTCATGTCATATTTCTATCCACCAATCACATAAATACAGATAATCAAAAAGAAATTGTAAACATAAATTAAATAAATTTATAATAAATAACAAATATGATATTTTAATTTCACTAGTTGAATAGAAATAAGGGTTAAATGCATGAAATAAGAGCCTACTTTCATAAATTTTCTTATTATAACATTTTGCTTTTATTTTTTTTATTACAACAATGTACTTTTAAATTATTTTTTATTAAGACATCGTACTTTAAAATTCTACTCATAATAGAGTAAAATATTTTTTAAACTGGTTAACCCTTGACTTTTTTTGTTTGTGTGACTTTAATGAGGTGATGTGAATGACACATCATTTTGATGACTTAACTAAAATAAAAGTAAAAATCTATTTCAAATTATTATTAGTGATTTTCATTTTTCATTGCTATGATTTAAAAAAAAACATTTATTTTTTTAACTTTTTCTTATAAAGTTGCATGCAAATTAAATATTATAGAGTAAAATATTTCTTAAATAAATATGATACATTATTTTTTAGATATATATTGTTTGTAAAAAAGGTAACACTTCTTATTTTATGATGTTCAAAAAAATACATATATTTTAAAGTTCTCTATAAAATGTTAATGAAATAAATTGTGTTTTACAATTTTTTAATATTGTTATATTAATAAATAATTCAAAAAATCTAATTAATTTAACATATTTATACGTCAAGTAAAAGTTTTTGAGCAAATATAATATATTCTTTAAAAGATAATATTTTTTTGGTAAAAATTGAACAATTTTTATTTTCTTTTTTCAAAAAATGCATATTTTTCAAAAAATATTAGCAATATGAGTTGTTTTTTATTAATTTTATTAATATTGGTATATTAATGAATAATTTAGAATTTTTTTAATTCATTTAATATATTTATTAAATAACATGTAAAATATCTAAATATTAAAATTAAAAGTAAATTGTTTAATAAGAACTAGTAGATGCTATAATAAAATAATTTTGAAAGTACAATATCGTAATAAGAAAGTCACATCACTATAGTATATGTGGACAGCCTACGTGGACAACAAGGTGGCATGCAATCCTGGTATAATGGGTAAATTTATATCAAAAGGTTACCCAATGCTATAATGGGTAAATTTTTCAAAGTACAATGTCCTAATAAAAAATTGTTTGAAAGTACATTGTTGTAATAAGAAAACCTGAAAGTACAATGCTATAATAATAAATTGCTATTTTATACATTTTACCCTATAAATAAAAATTGGAATTTTGTAACCAATCATAAAATGGGCTTGGGGCACATCACCCAATTTTGATTATTGGGCTTTGCTTGATTATTGAATAATGTTAAATATTCTTTTAAAGAGTAAATTACGTTTTCGTCCTAATAATTAAACGAGTTGGGTCTAACGTATTTTTTTAGATATATACAGATTTATGAATCAGTTAATCGATAGAACCCTTTTTATTACGAAGAACTGTAACCGACAATTAAAACTAGTTACTACTACTTGTTAAACGACATTGACTGCTAGTTGACCGGTCACAAAACCGGTTCCTTTTTTTAAATTTTTTAACTTCTTTATTAATTATATATAAGTATAATCAAACTATACATTGATATAACATGAATTAAATTAAATATTATATACTCCAATAAATTTAAATTTTATTTATTTAATTATAAACCCATACATTGTAACATGAGAGTTTATAAATACAAGACAAAATTATCAAAACTATCAGATTTTATTGGGGAAGATAATTCTTTTAAAGAATTCGTCATGATAAATGATAAATTGCATGAAAAAGTAATTATTTTAACTTGATTTTTATTTTGGGTAACTTATTTTTAGAACTTTCATTTTGATACATAAGATGTAAAGTTTTAAATATTTAAGTATCCGGGTAACTGGTTGAAGCATTAACCGGTTACCATGCTGATGTGACGAGTGAAGTGGTATCAACTCAGTATTATTTGCTGAAGCACTAACCGTAAACCACATCACTTGTCACATCAACATAGTAACCGGTTAATGCTTCAACCGGTTACCCAAATACTTAAATGTTCAAATTTTACATCTTAAGTACCAAAATGAAAGTTTTGAAAGTACGTTACCCAAAATATGATCAATCAAGTTAAATTACGTTACCTTTTTCATGCAATTTACCCTATTATAAACTGAGAAAGATAAATTTTTTTATAGCTGGTCTCTTCGAAGAAAAATCTAAAACTTATGTTTGAAAAAAAGGAAAAAGAAATTATAATTATCTAGAATCATATATATTTGTATATAAATGGTTAAATATGCAAATTGTATAAATTTGGTCCCTCTTGTTTGTAAAAAATAAAACTTTTTATCCCTATAAATTTTGAAATTATAAAATGGCCAACATGTTTTGCAGAAACATTCAGATTTGGTCTCACCCTCTGATGGCCGCTAAAAAAATCAGTTAAATGAGAAACATTTTGGTATTTTTATCGATTTTTTTATCTTTTAATCAATCAAAAACTAAGGGACCAAAACCATATAATTAATTTCGACTTATAAAAGACAAAAAATCGTAAAATAATTTAGCTTAGATACTTTATAATCGTTGAGGTTTTCAAAATTTATATACATTTCCTTCATAACTTGTATGTATCAAGTGATTTATCCTTCGTATATACTTTGTAAATGTTGTATTTTTAAAATTTATAAATTCTATCTAAACATTTTATAAAAGAATCTTGATTAATTTCGTTCATGATCAAACTTTGTAATCTTTTTCTTTTAATGTGTCTGAGGGGTCGTTTACCAAATACTTACCCAGATAAACGTTTATCAAGTTATGTTACTTCATCGGATGAATATGGTAAGGACCAAGAATCTTATCCGGTAAGAGCGAGACAAGGACCATGAATCTTAGTCGGTAAGTGAGGACGACGACTCTTACCATGGTAAGTGCTTACCAGGTAAATTGTTGCATACGTTGTCGTTTTGATGGACTAAAATTTTACTCAGTACGTAAATAATAGTGTTAAATTTTACCGATAAGCATTTACTGGATAAGTGTTTGGTAAACGGCTCATGAGTTTGATCTATTTTAAACATCAAACATCTCTTAATGATCACGAGCTCAAATAAACATCACATTTCTTTACCCAAAAAAATGCTATTTTTTGGCATACTAATAGTTTTTATTACAAAATATGAAGCGAATTTTTTTTTTTTTTTTTTTGACAATCTCCAAAATGACCTAAATATATAAAAAAAAAGTGAGAAAATGACTAATTTTTTTTTCATATATGTACAAAATAACAACCCGAATCATCAATAAAAGACGTGTGACTTTGTCATTAGTCGATGATTATGAAACATGACTTTGCAATCCGACTGATATTGGACTTAGTGCCCGGTGGTTCGTTTGGTTATCGCCAACAACCTAAAATTTTGGGGATTTTCATGTATCTTTTTAAAAAAATGAGTCACACATTTGACATTAATGAGAAAATCACTAACGATCATTTTCGGGAATACCCTTTTATTTGGCAATACCACTAGTCTTTTTTTCTTTATCATATATGTGTAGGGCTGTTTGGCAGTTACTGAATGGTTTGATGCAAATGATTAAAAGACTCTTATGATATAATACAAAATAAAATATAATTGTTTGGTAACTGTTTACAATAAAATTAGGGCGCTTATAGGTTAAGGGAGGGTCAGGATACAAAATCATTCAATGGTTTTTAAAACCATTAAGAGACCAACTTTTTTTGTCAAACAATCTTTACCTCTTAACAATTCATAAGTTACCTCTTAATGAAACTATTAAGAGGTAAACAACCAACCCCTAACACTAAATCATTAACTTCATAGTTATATAATTTTATCATACTACATAACACATAAACACCAAAATTCAAAGAGATTAACAAAGGGTAATATAAAAAAATTGAAATTTCCATTAATAGTAATAATGAAAAAACAAAAAAAAACTTAATTAAATAAAAAAGAAAACAAAGCAACCTTTGCCCCTATAATATTTGTATTTTTAGATGTACAACTTGCCAATGAGAGTGGGTTAACATTCTATATATAGCAACAAGATGGTGGAACCAAAATATCTACAGTTTTTTTTGCACAGTGAATCAGATTTCCCTTCAGTTACTTGCCATTGAGTTAGTTTCTGGTTTGAATTGGTTTTCACCGACGGTAAAACAAGCCTTCAGCCTCCTCTTCAGTTCTTGCCTGCACAGTAAAATCAATGATCAGACACTGGGAGTACATAACTTTATAGATGTCGATTTTTATTCATGTGGGACAAGTTGTTACAGTTATCGGAATTCTTACTTCATCAGTTGCCTGTCGAGATTCGAGGAAGACAACAGTCCTCTGTTCTCCTCTGCACGTCGTAGAAGATACGGCATGATTTGTTCAACGGGTCCGAATGGCAAGTACTTGCTTACACTGAACCCTCCATTCTTCAACCCGAAAGTCATTCCCTCCGCCATTCCGTAGAGCGAAGCGAACTCGAGCTTCTCGCTCTCTTTACCGATTCCGTAATCGCGCGCCTTCTGTGCGGCCAGTTTACCTGTGTTATTACACATTTCGTTACGTTATTCGATTCTTTCAAAAGGGTATTGATCGTAGGACACAAGAAAGATGGTGGAACCAAAAGAGTGAAACTTTTTACCTGATTCAAGATTATGGCTAGCAAGAACGAGTCCACCAGGGCCCTTAGAGACTTCATCGAGCATGAATGAAGCACAGCCATTGAAACAGTCGTGTGTGCCATTGAGGGTGTCGTGAACCGGAGAATCAACACCGAGAGAATTAGCCAGTTTACGCTCACTCGACATATAAGCACCTCTCACAAGCTTAAACCCGACCGGAACTCCCATTTTATCAGCGGCCTTCTTGGTCAGATACATCCTCTTTCCGGCGTCCTTCAAGTAACCTTGAATGGTGCCAAAAACCATCGGTTTCGTGCCCTTGTTGTAGTTAAGTGCAGCCCAGTATGTCAAGTAATCGATCGCAGGCTGGATCGAAGTGTCTTCTGCATCGACAACTACAGGAATACCGCCGTTAATGCTTTTATCACAAATGCTCGTTAATCTTTGGTGGGCTAACTCAAGATCATGCTCTTCTTCAGCAGATAATGGGGCTGGTTGCTGTAATGTGTGATAAAAAGGACTTGATTCAGAAAATATTGGCAGGGTTTGTTGCTTCCATGAGAGCTTGAAAGATGAATTCTGGTACTCCCATCGAAGAAGATCACTCACTCTCCTGAGCAGATACACTGGACAGATTGCTGTAACTTTCACGACCACAAAACTTACCTGTTTTTTTCACCATTTAGCTCATATCAGATCTGGGTTACGTTCTTCAGAAAAACATAAAAAGCCCTATCACCTTTTTACATGCAAAACTCAAGGTTTAGGTTAAAAATGGAACCCATTTGTGTTTTTCCATGGATCTCAGCTCATAAAAGATCTGGGTTCTTCAGAAAAACATAAAAAAAAGGATCATCATTTTACATGCAAAACTCAAGATTTAGGTTAAAAATGGAACCCATCGATCGTGGGTTATTTTAAAAAACCTCAAGATTCTAAAGAAATTCACAGAAACTCACAGAAGATGGGGGAAGGGAGTGGGCAGATTCAGCAGTTTTGATCAGTTCTTGAGTGTTATCATCACAAGATTCATTATCAGCAGCATGCTCCAACCCATAGTCCAACATCCCTCTCAACCCGGACTCCCATAATCTGTTCACGGTCCGACCCGCTTGCACCGTATCTTCGCCGGCCACAAAATGATCGTACGCCGAATGCCTGATCGTCTTCAACACCGCCTCCCTAAAAAACCTATTCGTCTCCATCGTCTTCGAATTCATAACCTTAATACTGAAATCCACCATCGATTCCATTGCACAGACGTTCAAAGTGATCGCCGAATGCAACAGTTTTCTCGTCGGAACAGACGCGAACAAACGCTTGGTATCCTCAAAGTCAAATATCTTCACGGCGCCGTCGTTTCCGTCATCTTTCACGGTGGCGACCGGCTGCGCAACCGCCGGGAAGCTGTTCTGGATGGGTGTGTTAATGGTGGTTCTTCGTGCCGGAGAGGCGGTGGTTGAATTCACACGGCTTACAAAAGATCTAAGCATTTTGTAAGAAACGTCTTTCTTGATCATCGCCATGGCTGACGGTTCTACGCGGTGGTTGGACGGTGGCGGGTGGTGGTGGACCGCCTATAACTATAAACGGAGCTTGCTTTTGGGTATATTAGCCTCAGGCAAGATCGCTTATAGCTATAAGCAAAGTGGAAACAGATTCTATATCCTTTTTATTTGTTGATCTTTATTACAGACTTTATTCACGAATTGTAATGAGATCAGGTGACGGGTATTTATAGGTGAAGTTTTAACGGGTCAGAAAAGGATCCGATAGTCTGACCCGATAAAGATTCGGGTAATCTTGTCCATTAAAAATGAACGAAATTTGTGGGGTCAAATGGTGAATGTGATACGTTAAAAGTGCTAAATTAAGGACCTTTCTTATAATATCATTCTATTTTTGGATAAATTTATTAGAGTAAATTACAAATTTGGTCCCTGTAGTTTGGTAAAAATAACGTTTTTTTTGTTTTTACATTTTTAAAATTACAAGATGGTTATCGTGAATTATAAAAACGTCTAGATTTAGTTGCACCATCTAACGATCGTTAAGAAATCGTTAAATGATGGACTTTTTTAATATTATTTTATCGATTTTTTTGTTTTTTACTCAATAAAAAATAATAGGGACCAAAATCATATAATTGATTTCGATTGGGTAAAAGACAAAAACATTGATAAATGCCGAAAAAACCTCTCAATTTAATACAACTTTTTTTACCTAAATCCGAACGTTTTTATAAACCACGATGATATCTTGTAATTTTGAAACTACAAAAACGAAAATATGTAAATTAATTTCATCTAATATTTTGATTCTTTCCAAAAATAAAAAGTAATCAAATAATTATGGAAAAAATGCATATTTCATATTTTATGAGTTATAAAAATGGTAAAAAGAAGTTAGAGAATCAAATGTGGATAATGTGCTGATTTTAAGGTTACAAGACGATTTACGTTTTTATCTGAAATTATCTTTCTGTGTACGTTATTAAATTATAAGATGATTGTTTGTGTATAAAAGGGTATAAGCAGAACTCCTGTATTTTATACTTATCTGATATATAGTTAAACGTTTTAAAAACCATCTGTAATGAATTAAGGGGGTGTTTGGATTGCTTATAAAAATAACTTATTAACTTATTCCGGTGTGACACTGGTAATAAGCACTTTTGAGTGTTAGGATAAAGAACTTATACCGTTGCCGAACCGGTAATAAAAGTTTTTGAAAAAATTAAAACATTTCTGACTTATAATAAATTGATAAGTGTTTTTGTAGAAAAACATAAGTTGTTTCAAATAAATAATCCCAAACACCCCTAAAATAATTATGTGCCTTTCGTTAATTTGAAGATATATTATGGCTTTTCAATTCGATAAAAGAATCTATTTCAAACTTTATCACAAATACGTGTCTAAATTAAAAGTTTTTATTTAAAGCAACAAAATGGTTATCAAGGAAAATACGTACAAAATAACCACTATCACACATTTTTAGAAATATTTACGTCTTCTTTAAAAAGAGGAACTCCGTTATCTGGAGTAAGTATCAAAACGTTATTGCCACTCACCATTTGCATAATTTCATAAAGCTATTTACAACAGTTATGCTATTTTAGAATTTACAGATATTTTTTTATTTTAACAGTTATATTATTCCCTTAAAATAGAAAAAAAAATGATAGCGAAATGAAGAAATCTTCAAATTAAAAAAAATAGAAAGAAAATGAAAATGCTCTAAAAAGAACGACGGGTTAATTCATTAAAAAGTTATTATCCTTTTTTTCGACGCTTATTTTGGTTTGTTGTTTTATTTAAAATATAAATAAAACCAACAAACTCGATACGTCTCAATTTTGTCTTAAAACCGTCATTGTGTTTGAACATAAATGCATCATAATCGTATTTGTTTTTTAGCACGATTCTTCTAATTTTTTTCTTCATAGCGTCATGATTACTAGCGTTTAAGTAATTTTCATCATTATCGATTTGAAATGAAATTCTCTTTCTCGAATTTTATCATTAATTATATTATTTAAATATTTTATGATGTTATAATCTTAATACATTTTAAGAAAAACTTTATATAAAATAATATTAATTTTATTTCATTAGTGAAATTTGAAAAAAAAAATCATTTTTCTCTCCTTTTACTTTCAAAGAATTTTTTATATTTGGAATATATTGGAGTCATATAGAAAATAAAACTCTGCTTTTCTTTGTTTTAAAAAATCTATTAAAAATACTCGACCTTTATAAATAAGGATACATTTTGAAATATATAAAAAAGCATTTAACCGATCGCTTCTTTTGATTGGTGGAGTCGTATATGTTGCATGCTAGGCATGACGTGCATATGACTGTATATTCAAGAAAGTCAAACAATATATATATATATATATATCTATCTATCTATACTATATTATAAAGCATTTGGTAAAACTCTTAAAACTCTTAAAAACTCTTAAACACGTTCATCCCTATCCGATTTCATCTCATAT